TTGTGTTCTGGATCTTGTGATAATGTAACTAATGGTTGTTATTGATCAAAAGGTAGAGTTGGTGAACGACCATATATTAATTCGAATGGAATTTGTCCAGTTGTTTTGTGGATAGTGGTGTTATAATTGAATGTAACAAAGGGTAATTGTTCATCCCAATTCGTACGTTTTTCATTTGATAATGCTACTATTTTAGCGTCCATTGTTGCATTAAATCTTTCAATTTGACCATTAGTCATTGGATGGTAAGGTGTTGAGTAAAAATGTGTAACACCAATCTTCTTGAATAATTCGTTCATCATTGTAGCAGTATTATCTGTAAGAATACATTTCGGAGTGCCATATTTAAGAATCACTTCTTCGATCAAAAATTGTGCTGCAGGTGAAGCAGTGCAATCACGGACTGCTTTCGTAATTACGAATTTTGATAATACATCAGTTAATAAAATAATATATTTATTACCATTCTTTGTTGCTGGTGTAATCGGTCCGTGAAAATCCATTGTGTTTAAAAAAAAGCTAAACAAGTTCATTTCTGTGCAGTATTACTTCTTGTCATAATTGCAGATCTTGTATCATAATCTCGATGTTAGTGAAATTGATTGTGACGAGTACTTCGTACTCTACATTGACTATTCTTGAAATTATATCTATAAGAAGGATCTACAGGTCACCAACGATTGTTGTTGATATTGTTTGCTGTTGAAGAAGAATCTCTTCTTGAACTCACATCATATGTATCATTGAGTTCTAAACGAAAAGATATGAAGATATTACCAATACTGAGACAAAAACAATCGAAAAAAATGTCTCACCTATTGACATCAATGATACTGGTTTCATTGATGAAACAGAAGATAATACAGGCGTTGTATTACTACTTGATGAATTACTCGATGGTAATGATAATGATGATGAGGGCTCATTGTTTGAGATTCTAGAATAAATGGAGAACAATATATAATTCATCTTTCTCTACACTTTTTTCTTATTCATAATAATTAAGTAAGATAATTATTATTTTTTATCCTATTTCCATAGTTATATTGTTTGCCTGAATGGTAACAGTATTCTTTAGTAACTCTTGAGAGAATAAAAAAACAAACAAAGGACAAGTGGCGGTAAGGCCATTTTTCCGCCCCCAACATTCTTTGAAAAAAATTACATGGTTAGAATCAGCATCAAATTCTGAACAAAACTATATCTTTTTTTTTTAAAACAAAGAAAAAAAAGGTTTTTTGAAAAAATTTTTGCCCTGGTACCCCCCAGGGAACAAAAAAAAACAACATTTTTTTTCTCCCTCCAATTTGATCTAGATATAGGTTATCGACCAT